ATGTCTGTACCCCCATTGTATTTAGGAAGTAACTAACTTGTTTTTGATTTTACAGACTCATAGGCAGGAGAGACTTGCCTTGTCTTAGATGAGACTGGACCTTCAAGTTAATGTTAAAATGAGTTAAAACTTTGGAGGACTGTTGGGAAGGCGTGATTAGTTTTAAAATGTGAGGACATGTGATTTGGGTTAGGTGATGACTGGAATGATATGGCTTGGCTGTGTCCCCACCCAAATCTCATCTTGAGTTGTAGCTCTCACAGTTCCCATGTGTTATGGGAGGGGCCTGATGGGAGGCAATTGAATCATGAAGACAGGTCTTTCCCATCCTATTTTCATGATAGTGAATAAGTCTCACAAGATCTTATGGTTTTATAAGAAGGAGTTCCCCCACACAAGCTCTCTTCTCTTGTCTGCCACTGTGTGAGAAAGACAATCATGCCTTTCACATTCCACCATGATTGCAAAGCCTCCCCAGCCACATGGACTGTGAGTCCATTAAACCTTTTTCATTTGTAAATTGCCCAGTCTCAGGTATGTCTTTGTCAGCAGCATAAAAATGGACTAATACAGACAGACATTTGAAAAAGAAGGAAACAAAGCAAGAAGAGGATGCTACAAATTAGCCTTTAAATCTCAATGATAAGCACATATATTTCAATTCACTGACACTAGGCAGAACCCTATGGAGTGACTAGCATTGTGAACATTTTACTCAAATTCTAGAAAACCTGGGATATAACCTTCTTAACATCAACCATGGTGAAGAATTTTTGATGAAGTCTCCAAAAGCAATTGCAACAAAACAAAAATTGACAAGTGAGACCTAATGAAACTAAAGAGTGAAGCTATCAACAGAATAAACAGACAATCTACAGAAGGGGAGAAAATATTCACAAACTCTGCATCTGACAAAGGTCTAATACCTAGAATCTATAAAAAAAACTTAAATAAGCAAAAAACAAATTACTTCATTAAAAATGGGCAAAAGATTTGAACAAACACTTCTTAGAAGAAATACAAGTGGCCAACAAACATGAAAAAATACTCAACCTTATTAATCATCAGAGAAATGCAAATCGAAAACACAGTGAGATACCATCTCATACCTATCAGAATGACTATTAAAGAGTCAAAAAACAGCAGATATTGGCAAGGCTGTAGAGAAAAGGGAATATTTATACACTGCTGGTGGGAATATAAATGAGTTCAGTCATGATAGAAAGCAGTTTGGAGATTTCTCAAAGAATTTAAGACAGAACTATTCAACACAGCAATCCCATTACTGGGTACATACCCAAAGAAAAATAAATTATTATGCCAAAAATATACATGCACTCATATGTTTATTGCTGTGCTATTCACAATAGCAAGACATGTAATCAACCTATGTGTCTGTCAACAGTAGATTTGATTTTTTTAAAAATATGGCACGTATACACCAGGGAATATTATGCAGCTGTAAAAATTGAAGTCATGTCATTTACAGGAACATGAATGAAGCTGGAGGCCATAATCCTAAGCAAACTAATGAAGGAACAGAAACTCAAAACCACATGTTCTCACTTACAACTGGGAAATAAACACTGAACACACATGGACATGAACATGGGAATAATGGACACTGCAGACTACTGGATGGGGAAGGTTGGGAGGGGAGCATAGGTGGAAAAACTACCTATTGGGTGCTATGCCTACTTCCTGGGTGCAATATACCTATGTAACAACCCAGCAGATGTATCCACTATATCTAAAATAGAACTTGAAAATTAAAAAAAAAACAACATCATTCTTCTCTTAGAAATTACTAAAAAGAAAGTTAAGCACCCTGTTAGTTAAACTCGAGCTCTGCCTCTACAGGTTGAAATTTCAGTTCCTCCACTTATTAGCTTGTGATATTGGGATAGTTACTTTCTTCACCCATAAAACAGAGATAATATTACCTAAGTCATAGAATTGTTGAGATAATTAAATGCACCAACATAATACAGTATGCATATTATACTGTGAATGCTTATTTATAGTAAGCACTATGAGTTTACTGAAAACTAACCCAAAAATAATATTTAATTGATAATTTATAACAAGTTTAATAATTAGTAACTAACATGGAGATTTTCTATTTTTGTTTTAATTCTGAAGGTATAATTTTAGAATATATTAGGAAATGCTCATGGTAAGTTGAAAGTTGATTGAAACAATCATCTGAAGTGAAATTAAAATATAAAACATGAAAGCTTACAAAGGACCTGCCGAAGACTACCTTTTTCTCTAAATGTGATGAGGAAGAGGAGAATTCTGATTTTTTGCATTTATTAAACAGTACTGAAAATAAAGAGCTATGTAAAAAGAGAGATGCCAGACTTCTGGTAACAGGATATGAATCTCACCCAAAGAAGTCATTTGGTATTTCAATCTTTAATAAGAGAGAGAATTGAGGTGTCCAAATGAGTGAATCACTCAATTAACGAAGTATAGGAAAAAGTAGGTGTATGGCTATTTCTTAAGGAAAATTCAAACAGAGATTCACATCGAAACAGAAAGAATCCCTACATCCTTGCAATACAGAGAAGAGGGTAACAGAACCCATAGAGAAGAGATCCAAGGTTCATGACAGCAGAAAGAGTAAAGATATGAATTGAATCTATTTGACAAGGCTTCCACATTTTGTTTCTTGCTAATGGAGAAGTAAGAATGGCAAGCATGACTGTGGAATGAGTGTAGGTGAAACATAGGGTATTGTAGTAATTATGCATCTGCTTTACTTCAATTCTTAAGCCTACCTGTTGGTGTGACCTCACACCTCCTGCAAACCCTCCAAATCCTAAACTAATACTGCATGAATTTGGCTTTAAAAAAACCATTACCATTCAATGTTTCCTACTGTTTTCTTTCTCCTTCCTTCCTTCCTTTGTTCCTTCCTCCTTCCCTCCCTCTCTCTTTTTCTTTCTTTCTCTTTATATCTTTCTTTCTTTCTTTTTTATATTTTTCATTTTTTTCTTTCCATTATCAAATCATCAAATCAGTGATATTACTTCCCTCCTTCCTTCCTTTTCTTCCTTCCTTCCTTCCTTCCTTCCTTCCTTTCTCTCTCTCTCTCTCTCTCTCTCTCTCTCTCTCTCTCTCTCTCTGTCTCTCTCACTTTGTTGCCCAGGCTAAAGCGCAGTGGTGTGATCTCAGCTTACTGCAACCTCGAACTCTAGGGTTCAAGCTATTTTCTTGCCTCCACCTCCTAAGCAGCTGGGACTACAGGTGCATACCACTACACCCGGCTAATGGTTGTATTCCTAGTAGAGATATGGTTTCACTATGTTGGCCAGGCTGTTCTCTAACTTTTGATCTCAAGTGACCTGCCTGGCTTGGCCTCCTAAAGTGCAGGGATTACCTTGCCCAGCCTGTTTCCTTTCTTTATCCATAGGTGTCACCAATATTAAGAATGGCATTGCCCACTGATTCTACCTCTGTAACTTACTTCCTTAGCTGCAGACACTCCCATAAATATAGAAAAGGACATGTTTGGTGCCTATAAATTTGATATATTTAAAAAATAATTTGTGGAATATGAAAGATGAAAAACTGGAAACCTGTTTTACAATATCATAATTCTATAGACGTGGATATGCATTTTCTCATTCAATATGCTTTAATAATTTAATAGTAAGTTATTAAAATTTTAAAATAATTATTAATAGTAAAACATTAATGATAGATATTTACATCTGTTTGCCCATTAATTTGTTCAGCAAATATTTATGGAGTGCTGATTATGTTTAAAGCATTGGAGACCCTTTCTGAGGGTCTCAAAGACCTTTTGTCAATTTCTATGTGCATATTGAAGAACTGATGCAAGCATGTATTTTGTGAGTGTTGAAGGAAGGCTAGTGAAGTTCACTAACTTAGTGGTCAGTCCGGTATCAAATTATCATCTCTGAAATTCACCTCTGAAAATCATCTCTGAATTCCACCTGTCAGAGTGGAATCTTTGCCACCCTGACACATTGCAGAAGCTAATAAGGAAGTCTAGACTCTAAGGAGCTGAGGACTCCAAGGAATTCTAGCCATGGTTCTGGCCTCTGACAGCCCTCTAGACTGGGGGATGTCCCCTAACTTCTGTCTTCCTCAAATTCCTTGCTTTAAAGTGGGACTTAACAATACTTGTGATTATTGTTCTACTTAACCACAAGACTGTCTTGGCTAGTAAAGGAAATAACATACATAAAGATGTTTGGAAAATAGTATATGTCTAAACAATGGTGAAATATTATTATCAAATATTATATATTTAATAATTTCATGGCTGCTTAAAATCACTATTTTAACTGTATATAGAGTTATGCCAAGGAATCTTATTTTTTCCTATTCTTTGCACATGGAAAATCCCATTTTGAAAAACAATATCCAAGTAATTCATATATTTTTTCTTCAAAATGTAATGGGAAGAATTGTAGAGAATAGGGATGTTTTCCCAATATTGAGCTTGTTTTCTTATTCTCCCACAAGGAAGCCCTGGGTCTTCTACAATGGAGGCAGGTGTCTCTGCAGCTATTTACCTCTCAATCTGCATTAGTCCCACAAGTACCCACCATAAGGGACAAGTAAACACAGCGAGAGAGAAAACACTATAGAGTCTTAATTTTGTCAAGATTGCTGAAAGGAGACTTGCTTTAAAACACATAAACACCCTCCTTCCACACACACACACAAAATCAAAACCAGTTAGGACACAATGTAATATAGTGTTTAATTAACCTTTTCTAAAATCTTAACTATTGAACTTGGCAACGTGAAATAATGCTAACAATTTTTATACAAAAACATTGATTTGAAACACAGAGATTAATTAATCCAGGATGCTATCGTAACTCCAGAAATTTAAAAAAATCCAATGCAGATTGACTCTACTAAAGACATCTCACTAGCAGTCCTCTGACACATCAGGTATCTGGTCACTGACAGACAGTACAGCAAGCAAGCCTTCTATAAAACAGAACTGAACTTACCGATACATCGTGGACAGGAGGAAGAATATGATCTTGCCGGTCTGCACCCACTGAACTCCACTTTCTAATCAACTATATGACATCTCTAGATGCATAGGAAGTCTACGGCTCAAAGAAATAAGGAAACAAATTACAAGTACTTGAAATGAAACTAGTTGGACAAGTCTGAACAGAGAAGTTTCAATCAGTAGAATACCTTGATGAAAGCCAGAGACAGCATAGTCCCAACCAGAAAGCAATATATATATATTGGTCTAGACTAATTTTGTTAAAGGAGAAGAAACTGGTTACAAAGATTTGAATGAAAAATATCTTAGGAATATGGTAGAATTAAGAGTTTAAAGAAGATTATTGGTAAGTATACAAGTATCTTAAAGAAACTTTCACATAAAAGCTCTCAATAAAAACACTCAGATCTTCTTTAAACCTAAATACATAATATAAATATGACTCAAGAAATGCTCCGTAAATTCTTGTTGAACAGCAGGTATCTCCATATCCACTATATCTAAAATAAAAGTTGAAAATTTTAAAAATGAAATTAGAATTATTACAAATAAGTAGTACTCATCAAAGACCAGCCATCAATACTTTACATGCATTATCTTATTTAATACTTCACAACAGTGGGGAAGAATTAACCTCATTTTACAGAAATAAAAACTGAGGCTCGCAGATGTGAAATAATTTGACTAGTCTCATATTTCTGTAAACGACAAAGCCAGCATTTCCTTCCAGGTTTTTCTGACACCAAAGACTCTCCTCTTATCAGTTAGAATTGCTATATGAATTGTGCTTGATACAAATCTAGCTCTAAAAAATAATAGTTTATTTTCCCCATCACCAGCTGATTGTGGAAGTTATGGGTGGGAAAATAGCAGCCCTTGGCTACTACTTAAGTCTGTCTTTCCTCCACTTGGTCTATTTTGCTACTGAAACCTGTGGTTGTATAGTGTAGTCCTTGTGCTGTGTTTTTCAGTTCCATTAGGTTAGTTATGTTCCTTTTTAAACTGGCTATTTCTGTTATCACCTCCTGTGTTGTTTTATTATGATTCTTAGATACTTTGTGTTGGGTTAGAACATGCTTCTTCAGCTAAGTGGTTTGTTATCCACCTTCCAAAGACTACTTCTGTCAGTTTAGCCATCTTAGCCTCAGCCCAGTTCTGTGCCTTTGCTGTAAAAGTGTTGTGGTTATCTGGAGGAGTAGAAGCACTCTGGCTTTTTTAGTTTTCAGCATTTTTGCACCATACTTTTCTCATCTTTGTGGGCTTATCTACCTCTAATCTGTGTGGTTGCTGACCTCTGAATAGGGTTTTGCGAGATCTTTTCCGTTGATTTTGTTGTTGCTGCTTTCTGTTTATTTGTTTGTTTTTTAAACAGTCAGGCAACTCAGGGCTTCCGTTCTTTCTGGGGGTCCTCTTCAGACCCTAGTTGCCATGGTCCCTCCCATACCTGAAGATCTCACTAGAACAGCAAAGATGGAAGCCTGCTCTTCCTTTGGCAGCTCCATCCCAGGGGGCACCAACCTGATGATGAATACTCCTGTTGGAGGTGTCTGGAGACTCATGTTGGGAGATCTTACCCAGTCAGGAGTAACTGGATCAGAGACCTGCTTAAAGAAACAATCTGACTGCCTCTTGGCAGAGCAGGTGTGCTGCACTAACTTCCTGGCTTCTCCAGAGTCAGCAGCCTGCAAAGGGGAAGTCAGCTGAACCACAGAAATGACAGTTGCCCTTCCCCTGGGTTATAAACCTTGCTGGAGTCACTGACATTCCCACGGGGAGGCCCCACGCAGTAAGGAGGTCCTGGGTCTTGAGACAGTTCTGGGTCCCACTTCGAGAATCAGTCTGGCCACGATCTGCACGGAAACTCAGTCCACCTCAGGCATAACCATGCCATTTGGCTTCCTATATTCACCCCTTTCGAGGGGAATGCATGGATGGATCTCTTACCTTGCCATAATTCCTGGGTCTGGAGTATGCCAAACTCCTGGGTCTCTGTGAGTGCCAGTTAGTGCAGTTAGTTACAAGTATTTGTTATAAATATGATATTTATTTACCAGAGTTACGTAGAAGTTTAATGTCCAAAACTTTCTCTTTATAGGGTAATTCTTTACTACTTATTCTAACCACCTTGGGATCTTTATTCAGTGTGAGGAAACCGTTCTTAGTCCTTCAACAATTAAATATAAAGGTAGATTATTGATTCTAGTCTAATCTGAAGAAAATGTACTGGATTACAACCTGAAAGTGACTTAGTATGTGATATTGGCTGTTACAGAATTCCTGGGTCATAGAGCATACATACATGTAATTCAACTAAAATTTACTGCTACTACTAGCATTCTGTGAAGGTTCTACATCCTTGCCTACACTCAACTTATTCCATTTGTTTATTAGATGTAAAGCTGTGCCTTCATTTTGCTTTAATTGTAGTTCTCTGAATACTCATCATTTGGGCCTTTTTGAAATATCCTTGCTAGGTTTTTGTGTTTGTAAATTTATTTTCATGTGCTTTACCCATGTTTCTACTGAGATTACTGTTTTCCTAGTTGATTTTCAGGATTATGCTATATATTGTAGATATCAGTGCATTGTCCATTTTAGATAATTTAAGTATCTTCCTCAATTCTATCTATAGTGTTAGTTTATTAGTTGCATAACAGAAATAGTCAATAGTCAAACATATCTTATTTTTGCATTGCATTTAATACTTTCTAAGCATTTCTGTAACAATTTATTCCTTATTCTATGTTGCAAAGATATTCTTCCTTTTTTAGTATTAACATGATCAGTTTTTACTCAGATTGCTAATCAATTTTTGGAGTCTACCTTTGTATCATTTTAGGTAAGGTTCTATGGTTGTGGTGATCCTGAAAAAATGTGTCTCTAAGATCTCATGCTCTGGAGAATATAATTGACAAATGGCTCAGCTTCTGTACTGTGAGCCTAAAGCTGCACTCATACTAAGGCCACATTTCCCACGAGCTCCTCCTAGCCTGTGACTAAGCACAGCAGGGTTTTTAAGGTAAGCCCATTTCTGAAAGATGTGGAATTCCTTTGATGAGTCACTTTGACTTGAGGACTCCCCAGAGGCTTGGCCAAATCTTTTTAAAACTGCACTGCAATGTGCAACTCTTTCTATGCAACTCTTTTTACTTCCTTCTATACTACACAAGGGTCAGAGCTGCATGGCATTAAGTGTCTCTATGACTCTTCCAACAAGCATACTATTTTCTTCACAGAAATTTTCCTTGATAATTATCTTGCACCTCAAATCTCATCTTGAGGTCTGATAGAGTGGTCTTAGAAAATGTGGAACTGATTAGCTCACCTCACTGTGTGTTGGGTGGAGGATGCCATGCTGAATGTCTGCAAGGCAGAGACAATCCCAAGCATAAGGTGGCAGGTGCATTGTAAAAGATTTCACCAGCAGTAGCCTGGGAAAACTTTTTGGTGCTTCCTGATAGAGGGGACACCATTGTAGGTGACAGTCCAGGCAGCTGAAAGATAGGAGAGAAGAATGCCTCTTACAAAGATAGTGGAGTTGGCTGGTTACTGTTAAATTTCACCATCATCCTGCATAGGGATAAGGAGAAACTGAAGGCCATTTAAAATACTTTAAAGGCTAAGTGTGAGAACCAGTTACAAAAAAGCTCTTATTTCCTACAGAGAAGAGTAGACACAGCCAAGCAGCAGGCTAAATATCTAATCGTTAGATTCCCAGAGTTTGAATGCTTAGTCAAAGCTGATTTGCTATGCTTTGGTCAGGGTCCTAATTGGAAAAACCCAGGAACTTGAAATATAAGATGGGACAACTGGGTGGATGTCTTTGAGAATGTTGGTTCTGCAGACCCCCTGAACCAGCTCTTCTCCCCTGCTGAAAGATGCTATAGAGCTGTTTTTTGTTTTGTTTTGTTTTGTTTTGTTTTGTTTTGTTTTGTTTTGTTTTGTTTTGTTTTGTTTTGTGAGACAGAGTCTTGCTCTGTCACCCAGGCTGGAGTGCAATGGCATGCTCTCAGCTCACTGAAACCTCTGCTTCCCAGGTTCAAGCGATTCTTCTGCCTCAGCCTCCCAAGTAACTGGGATTACAGGTGCATGCCACCACACTCGGCTAATTTTTATATTTTTAAGTAGAGACAGGGTTTCACTATGTTGGTCCGGCTGGTCTCGAACACATGACCTCATGATCCGCCCACCTCGGCCTCCCAAAGGGCTGGGATTACAGGTGTGGGCCACTATGCCTGGCTAGCTATAGAGCTGTTTCTCCCAAAAGGCAACAGGTGCCTCCTCATGAGATACTCTCACCTCTTCAACTGACAACCAGGTCAGTGGCTCAGCTAGTAACATATAGGGCCTGATAAGGTAGAAAAAGAGACTACATACTAAAAGAATTGTGAGAATTGGTGAGTATGTATTGGCTCCTGACATAAGGTTTTGAGAGTGATCATGTAGGGCTGAATGAAAGACTGGATAAGTAAGAATTCATTTCCTTAGGAGCACTTTCTCAAGACATGAAATTTGGCAACCTAGCAAAATCTCAAGGAGTAAGCCTGCTAGGGTGGCTCTTAGCGTTGCGGAGGAACCCAGATCCAGGATTGAATACAGATGAAATGTCCCAGTTGCCCTAGAAGACAGCAGAGAAAGAAATAAAGTAGCTGAGGAAAGTGGGCCACTTGAAAGGGATAATTGTGTGAGGACAGAAGACCCACCAGGGGATCTGTTTCATGGGGAAGCCCAGAGGACATATCATTTATGAGAGTCACTAGAAATGGGCTGATGAGAAGAGCTTGAGAATAACTAAGAAGTTCAATGATTGCTCTCTGTTGCAGATGAAGGCTGCAATAAGGGAAGCATCTACAGTCCTGAGATTGTCCTAGGGATGATGGAGTCCTGAAGTAATAGAGGCCAAGTGTCAGTGATTAACTGCCAAAGCCAGGAACCCACAGTGAGCTTTAACAAACAGCAAGGTTGGAGGGACAGCTATGGAAGTTTTTCCCACAAATAATTGTGGAGACAGTTCAGAAAGTATGGTATTTTTAGGTGAAAATAGACAGCTAGCCAGGGTGCCAATTAACATCTACAACCAAAGAAGAAATAAAAAGGCAAATATGGAAAATCAGGAGGCTCTGTATGATCACCCCAACA